AAGCCAAAGACCCTCCGCCCAGCCGCTCACCGCCATCCCGGCCACCCGCTCAATGTCCGACGCGAACACGCGCCCAAACACGCGCCGCGCGTATGCCGCCGCCGCCTCCCCCTCGCGCCGCAGAAAGAAGCTCGCCGCGTCGCGTGCCTCCGCGGCCGCCTCCTGGGCCGCAGTTGCCGCAGCAGCAGCTGCCGCCACGGCCGCGTCGGCTGCGGCCTGGTCTTGCTGGTGGCTGTGGGCGACGTCGCCGTTGGAGGGGGCGGCGGCGGCTGCTGCTGCAGCGGCGGGCTCTTTGTTGGCTGCTGTGCCCTCATCCAGGTCTGTTGGTGGGTTGGGATGACAGTTTCCATGAGATGGGAGGGTGTGCTTGTGTTCGTTTGTGTGTGCGTGTGCGTGTGCGTGTGCGTGTGAGTGTGTTTGTGAGGGCGCATGCGCATGCACGCATTGGACTGGAGGCCGTTTGGGTGGGTTTGCTGGTCTGCTTGATAAATGTGGAGGGGCGGGGGTGCTAGAGCTGGTCATGGTGGTTGTGTTCGTGGTTGGGAGGGGCCCATGGTGGGGTAAGCAGCGGGTGCACGTGCCAGTTACACTAAGTTGTGCCAAGTGCCTTCCCCCACCCCTGGTTCCCTGATTCCTTCCACCCCTCATTCCCTGCTTGCAGCAGCACCCCTCAAAATCCCCTTCCGCGCCGACCTCCGCCATCTTCTGCCCTGCCGCCCCTGCCCCTCTGCCCTGCCGCCCCACCCCCTTGAGTAGCGCACCCGTCACGTCCTCGGGGCGGCCGAAGAGGCGGGCAAACAGCATCTCTTTTGCCCACACGATGCAGTGGATCGGCTTGTCGGGGGTGTTGCGCAGGGTGCAGATGGGGTAGGAGCGCTGCTGGGCTGGGCGGTGGGTGCACTCGTAGCACTCAGTCCGGCCCTTGAGATGGACAGTCACCTGGTTTGTTGGGGGTTTTGAAGGGGTGCATGCGTGTGCATGTGTATGCGTGCGTCGGGGGGGGGGGAGGTTGTGTGCAAAGCAGTGCTTGTGTGCGCGAGTGCATGTGTGAGTGTACGTGCACACGCGTGTGTGTGCGTGTGACATGGGGCGCGGACGGGTGGCGAATGGTCGGTCGACAGCGGCGGTGGAGGCGGTGGGATGGGTGAGGGTCGCTGCAGGCCCAGGAACGCACAGGCACGTGCGGCTGAGGAGAGCCATCGTCCCCGGGCAGTAGGGGCCGCCAGAGGCCCCAGGGGCGCGAGCAGGGCCGGCTCTCGAGGGCGTTTCGCGAGAGGGTCGCCAGGGATCCTCAAACTTCACCACCGCAACTACCCCGACCGCCGCCGCCGCCGCCACGCCCGGCCAGCGCCGGCGCAGCCCGCTAAACGAAAGCGCACCTGCCCCTTGTGCCCCGCGGTGCCGCTCTCCACCAGCGGCACGCCGCCCGCCACGCAGAGCCGGTTGACATGGCGGCGCGCGTCGAGGTTGTCGAGGCCATTCAGGACGATGTCCTTTGATCTGACAAAGTCCAGGCCAAAGCGCGACTCTTTGACATTTGCCTTTAGGATGGATGCATGGGTGGGTGATTGGTGGGGGCGCGGCGGTTGGGGCGGCGCCCGATTCGAGGGCGGCATGTTTGGGTGAGACGCCTTGCGACCAGGGTCAGGCGGTTCGAAGGGTGCACGCCTGCCTGCAGCAGCGCGGCGCCGACGGCGGCCGGGACCGGCGCCAGCCTGCCATCCGTCTCACACGCACGGTGCGCCGCGCCGCGCCCGGACACCCCTCTCTCAGTCCTGCTTCGCCCCTCCTGGCTGCGGCGGACTTGCACCTGGTGCGCAACAATCTTGGCAGCGGGTGCAAATGACTGCACCACCTGAGCCGCCACCTCGGCCTTGCTCTTGCCCACGTGATGCTTGCGGAAGAGGAACTGGCGGTTGAGGTTGCTGGTCTCAATTGTGTCTAGGTCCACCTGCAATTGAAGGTCACAAAGCCGGGCTTTCCAGTCGGCACGGCGGTCTCACAAACAGCCGTCGTCGCATTGCCAACAAGGTTGCAAAGGCCAATGGCCGCCGAAAAGGGGTGCTGCGGGCTTGTCCAAGCCGCCGTGCAACATTGATGTTGGCCTCAGCTGGAAAGCACCTGTGCAGACCCATACGTGGCGTCTGGGTTGGGGCAGTGCAGCATGCAAAGGCAGCTGGGCGCAGCACGCAAAGGCAGCTGGGCGCAGCACACCCAGCGTCGTCAATGCCGTGCCGTGGCTCACCACCTCTATGTCCTCGAAACCCGTAAGCACGAGGGTCTTCAAGAGTTCGCAGCCAATTCCTCCCGCCCCTACAGCCAGCACCTTGGCTGTCCTGATCTGCGAAAAGCGCGATCCAGATCACATGAAATGCGAAAGCTTCGCCATCGGACACCATTGCTGACAGCCGTGTAATATACCTTCTCCTGTAGCTCTTTCGTGCCTAGGACATCCGGCCATTTAGCTGGGGCCTGAACGGCCATGTTCGCCTGGATCGCGCCGTGGAAGTGCTGGAAAAAGTATGGAACACATCAATGTATGAAGGCCCCAACCTGATCTTGCAGCGTGCCTATGGGCTGTTTCGTGTTTGTTCTCCTGACACGCAAAATCCTCCCTGGCTGCCGCTGGGCCCACTACCGGTAGTCAGCAACATGGATGTTGTCTAGCTGTAGAGTCCCATGCTGCTGGTGCCCTCTTACATTCTGAAATCTTGCAAGGTGACGCCAATTGCCATGGCCACACAATTCATTGTGCTGTTGTGACGGCATCAGTACGAGGGCTTGATTGGTGGTGACCGCAAGAAGAGCCCGCTGAGTACCAACACCCACCCCATGCCGCCAACACGCGGGCCTCTATTGCTGCTGCTGCTGCTGCTGTTGCTGCTGCTGCTGCTGCTGCTTCTCCTGTGGCTGCTGCTGCTGCTGCTGCTGCTGCTGCTGCTGCTGGCATGCCTTTCTGTGCGCTGGCCACGCCGCCTTGGCACAAGCCTCGCCGCAATACCTGCGGTTATTTGGGAAAGGAATGGTTGGCACATCTTGGGGTGTTTGGTATGTCTTGAGAAAACCTTTCCGTAGCGAGGTCTACTTGTCAGCCACACATGTGTCAAACATGTTTGCGCCCTTTGTTGGCAACGCAGGTGCCACTCAGCATGCGGCGCTGCAGCGAGCGCACCTGACACTGCGGCAGCCAGCGCAGGCCTTGGGTGGCCGCCCCAGCTGTGTCTCCGTCTTGCCGCACATGGCACAGGCCTTGGGCTGTCGCGGCGGCGCGGGCGTCCTCTCGCCTTCGCGTTGTGACGTGCCGGGGGCAGCTGGCTCTTTGCCCTCTCCCTCGCCGTTGCCGCAGATGGCGCCACTACTGTCGCCGTCGCCGCCGCCGCGGCTGCTGCTGGTGCCAATGCTCCCGCTGGTGCCAGTGCTGCCGCTGCCGCTGCCGCCGCCGCCACCACCGTCGCCACCAATGACGCTGCTGGTGCCACTGCCGCCGCTGCTGCCCCTGCTACCCCCCGCGCCGCCCCCCGCGCCGCTGTCGCCCTTGAGCGCCGCGAGACCCGCCGCGACCTCTCCAGCGATGGCCGCGTCGGCGGTTTTCGCAAGCGCGCCCAGTACGAAACGCAGCAGCCCCAGGGTGCTGGACCGGCAGTGTGGGTCGCCTCTCTCGTGGGCGCCGCGGACGCCGGCGAAGGCCGCCTGCGCGTCAGAGCTCGTCCTCGGGTGCAACTCATGGCTCGCTGCCGCCAGCACCGCGCTTGCGGCCGTGCCTAGTGTGTCTTCGTCCCCGCTTTCCACAGCGGCGACGCAGAGCCCGCTCAGCATCCCAGGATGGCGAGCGATTGCGGCCGATGTCGGGCGCTCCATAAGAGTGCCGGCAATTGTGACCGCGCTCTCGGCGCCCTTGACGCCCATGCGGCCTGACAGCGCTGCGGCCAGCACGTCCAGCGCCCAAGTGGCCTCGCCCGGCAGCTGGGCCTGGGCGCCGCTGCAGGGCTGCGCCGCAGAGTGCAGATGAAGGGCACCGCCCGCCGCCCAGACGGCCGCCCGCAGCGAGTCATCGCAGCCGACCTCGGCGGGTGCCGCGGCGGCGCGCAGCGCGCCGGGCGCGCCCAGCGCGAGGAGGGTGGCCGCCTGTTGGGGCGATTCCAAGGCGCACAGCAGGCCGGCCACGAACCTGCGGTGGGTTTGGCGCGCATGCGGGCCCAGGATGGGAGGAGACGGACTGCAAGCCACTCGCTTGAGATGGGGATCGACTCAAGCACCACACATTCGCAGACCCAGCGAAAGGAAAGCAAGGCAACAAAACGCCAGGCAACGCCAGGGCGGCCGTGCACTCACGCTGTGCTCATGTTGTCGCCCTTGCGTAGCGTCGCGACAGCGATGGGCGCCATCAGGGGCAGTGCCCACACATCAATCTCGGGCCCCGCAGCTGTGCGAAGGTAATACAGCGCAGCCCTGCTGACTCGGAGGTCCGGCCCGCCTGCCGCACGCACCACCTCTGACAGCAGCCCAGGGTCGCCCAAGCCACCGATACCAACGCCCGTGTCGCCGCTGCCGCCGCTGCTGCTGACGCGGGAGCCGCTGCTCTCGCACTCTCTGTCCGCCGCCGCGCCGCTGTTGCCGCAGGCCCGGCGCAAGGCGCCCCCGCTCACCGCGGGCTCACCGCCGGCCTGCGGCCAAACACTTCGTAGCAGCATTATCAGCAGCTCCAGAACAGGCAGGGCGCGGGCGCCGCGCAGGCTGCCTCTCAGTGCGCTCAGCACGCCGGCATGGGCGGCGACCTCCTCCCTGGCGGCCTCGTGCTCACACATAAGCACGAGCCATTCGGCTGCCCCGCCGAACTCGTTGTCGTTGCCGCGCACGATCAGCTGCGCCGCCGCTTCCAAGGCGCGCCACAGCACGCCGCGCCTAGCCGCGTCCCTGACGGCCCGCGCCAGATCTTCGAACGGGACGTTCCCCACACCGGACAGGCAAGACCAGCATGTCATGGCGGAGAGCGCATGCGGGCGCTCGGTGGTGGCGGCGATCAGGCCCAAGAGTGCCCCTGGCTGCGCGGCGGCCACTGCGGCGGTCGCTGCAATGTCGGTGCCTGAGCCTGCTGCTCGGAGCAGCAAGTGGAGGATCGTCGCGGCGCAGCCGCGCTCGATGGCGTCGCCGCCCAGCAGCCGTCCCATCGCGGCAACGACGCCGGGCACCTGAGGGGCGGTTGGGCGCCGGCGTTTCGTTGAGCAATGGCAGGACGCACCATTGCCATGACCAGAATTGGTTGGTGCTGCACACACTAGGGCTGGTGGAACAAAGGCGCGCCACCCCGCGGTCCGCCACAGGCTCTGTGTGTGAATGCAGCAAAGAGGGGGAGGGCAAATGGATGTTCCCACCTGGGCGATTGCAGTCTGCAGTAGGATGCGGGCCTCGTTGTTGGGCATCGCTGACAACACGATTGTCAAGCCCAGCGCCGCCCGCTTGGCAAGCAGGGGGTCTGGGGCGCACAGCGCGCGCGCCAGCGCAGCGGCTGCTGCGTGCGGCACCACCGAGGCCGCCCACACGCCCGTGCTGCCAGTGTAGACGAGGGTGCATGCGACGTGCGCCGCGGCAACGTAAGCCCGCTCTGATTGTGGCTGGGCGACGTGGTGCAGCAGACGAGCGAAGTCTGCCGGAGTGACGCGGTTCGTGTCGGTGCTGCGGCACAGACGTGTCGAAGCGGCGTCCGCCTGGGCGAGCTGCCCCGCGTCCAGCGCGGTCAACAGGGCTTGCAGGTGCACTGCAGCGTCCTTTGAGCGCGCCATATCACGGTTCAGGGCCTGACGTGTCGTGTAACCGGGGCTCAACGCACAGGTCACCGTCGCATTGTTGGTGCGCGGGCGGCAAAGAGCAAACAGTACGTGGTGGAGTGTGATAACAACAATGATTGTGCATGTGTCTCTAGAGACAATTTCGATGCCAGTGTCCGCGATCGGTCGCATGGCAGGGATCTTGGCACCCCGGCCCCGCTGCGCTGCCGCGAAGCTGCTATGTCAAGTGCAGTGCGGGTCGCAGATCCAGGAGATGCGGCGAGTGGCATCGCTAACCGCTCGTTGTCAGGGTCGTGCCGTGTTTGGATAGCCACCGCAGGGATATGTGCTGCCGTTGGATGTGCTCGGGCGGGGTTCCTTGGGATGCGGGTGTTGACACTCAATCGCTGATCTGCCCCACCCCCAAAGGCGGTGTTGATGCAACGTCAAGTGTACCGCCCCGGAGACAACAGCATGACCTGGTGCACCACAATCCTCTGTCCCCCGTACCCGATCAAGCTAGCGTGCGCCATCCCTATACCATCCATGCACCTGCAATAACACTGGAGGTCGTTTCTGCGCAGACGGCGGACAGCTGACCTGAACTGTAGATGATGCTTGATGTGCTGACATCAAGACACTGTGCTTTGCAGGATTCTTCGTTTCCCAGTCCAAACCCTGAGCTTGGATGGCTCCAGCAGCGGGCGATAGTGGGGCCATGTAATGATAGTGACCAACATTCCCAATTCTTCTCCCTCCACAACCCCAGCATCAGGCCTGATCCCACAAAGAGCAGCACCCACGCACAAGAAAGCAAGCAAGCGCCAATATCAGCCGCTCAGTGCCTTGCGAAGGCGAGTGTCCTGCGGCAAACTCACGTCGCCCCCGAGGCATGAGAGTTGTGGAAGCGGCGTGTGGTGCCCAGCAAGGGCCGTGGAGCAAATCACAGGGAAGTGTGGTTTGCACTTTAGACTTGGGTGCTCGAGTCGAGCTTGCGGTGTGGCTTTGTCCCCCACGATGTCAGGCAGGCGTCTTGTTGGGGCCGCCGATTGGGGGGGACCAGACCTGGAGTTACAGATGGATAAAACAGGCACCTGATGTGCTTGGGTTTGTCGTCTGTGGTTGTCTTTGCAAAATCGCCGTGACAACCGCCCTGCAACCCCTCTTACGCTGCTAAGAGTGCCAGGCCGCATACTGTACCCCATGAAGTCCTGCAGCGCCCGAACAGCCCGCCGCCCAGGCCCTGTGGTTCGCACTTGCATCCCGCCACCCGCGGCCCGGCGGCGATTGGGCCCCCGAGAAATGGTGCGGCTGCCTGTCGGGCCTGCCACCTAGCTCCCTCAAACGGTGCGGAAAGCGGCTTTTGTGATGATCCCCAGGGCCAGTAGCAGGCTGATGGGTGTGATGCGGTAGTTATACTTTGTGTGGTGGGGAGGAGGGGGGGGGTACGGGGTGAAGGCTGGGTCCCTGGCAGTCAGGAGGCTGGCAGTGCAGTCAAACCACATGCGTAAGTGTGAAGCAACGACATACTTGGTCCGCTAACACACA